GCTCACTTTCCATATTTACAGTGTCACAGGTTTGAGCCTGATTCTTTTTACTTTATTTTACTCATCTAAAGGTTGTTTATACCAGAGTCCAAATGAATCTGCCACTGTTACCAATATCCATTTGATACTGGTTTCTGTCAGCTATTCCAGGGGTATGCGTGCCTGTGATTGTCACCATTATTTCGGTGTACATACCTGTAGAGTCATGCAGTAGCCTAGCTAAACATCTAGAGTGAGGAAGTTGCATTATAGAAATGTGGTGTTTTCCAAGGACCCATGTTAATAAAAGCACATTATGTCGCTTGTCTGGTCGTATGCAGAAGAAGACAAAGGACCACAGCTCCTTCTGAGCCTTGTCCCAAGATTCAAGAAGCACTAGTCTACAGTTAGTGTTACCTACGACTTTATGATGTGTAGTCAAACAGTTTTATTGGTCCTGAGTCAAAGCGGTAACTGTAGGGTTCCGCAGCCTGGCACAAAGCTTTTATGATGTTCCTTTTCACTGCTATGGAGACAGAGTGGAAGCAAACGTCCCTAAATTATACTTTCATCTCTTTCTTCTCCTGCTTATATCGTGTTGGTTCGCCCATTCTCCTCCTCAACTCTCTCCACAGCTGTCTGCGTGCCTGCCTGTGACTGTCCCTCTCTCAGCTTTTAGAGAAGGTTCAAACCAGACATACTCTGCTTATTTTTCTTCTCTCTCCCCCTTATTTCTATCTGTGCTCATCCCTCAGCTACAAACGAGCGAGTGCATGTTGAGTGACATCAGTGAATCCCTGGATGAGGCCAAAATTGCCCTGAATGCGGAAAGACAGCAGAGGCAGCAGATCCAGGACCAGTTGCACCATGCCAACAAAGAGATGGAGCGTCTGACACACGTGCGTCACACTAGTGAAAAGAAGGTGATTGGTTTCTTCCTCAAGGTCTTCATTCAGATATTTAATGATATTATTTCTTTCAAAGCCTTGCTTGTCCGACTTTGCCATGTTATTGCAACACTTACACTGAGACAAGTGCATGTGACTTCCCTGTTGTTGGCCATGTATTGTTGACACTGATACATTATTAGCAAGTTCGCTTGCTCACAAGGTCAAGAAACCTTTTCTACACAAAGTGGACATTGTCAGGAAAAAGATGGTTAAACTAAAAATGTGCAATTTCTACACGATGGAGATGAAATATAATATTCAGTTTAATGTAATGCATTGTCTTTTCCCACAATGGGACTGATAAGAAGGGTTGCACAGGTGAGGGATTCATTTAAATATTCAATTTTCAAATGTAATATTCACTGTGACAGGCATTGTCTATTTCTACAATGGTGCTGATAATAAGGTTTTAGATAATGGGTAATGGGATGTTCTGATATTTAGAGCCTTATTAAAAACACACACTTCTGACAAAGACAAAAATGTTGATTATTCTGCTGAAATGGGAATTTTTTCCAGCTGGGACTACAGTAAAACTCACAAATCACATGTTCATATGCTATATTGCTTTTTAGACCTTTTAATCCGCTGCCCTTTCTGTGATATACCAAAGGCGTATGTTAGTGGTTTAGTGGTTTGTATTTAACCTTCAATTAACTAGGTTGGAAAGATACTTTTCACTGAGCCATTGGTGAATTTCAAGGGGCTTGCGTTTGTAAAAAAGGGAAGCAGCACACGAGGTTCAGTCCTTTTCACTGGCAAGCCTCTTCACTGACTATACTAATTTCAGAATGGTTTTAGGGTTAGGGTTAAGGTCAGGATTTTGTTGGCTATCACTGAGGCTATTGTTAGAGCAGTCTCTCAGTGTATAGAGTACACATTTAAAAGACTACATACTCTATAGCTCATATTATATGACAGCAAATGGGCTTTGGTAAAATAACTAATTTTTATTTTTGACCTCTTGTAATTGAGTGAACATGAATTCAGTTGTCATCGTGCAAAATGGAAGCAAAGTCTTGCGTCAGTATTTCACAAGCCTTGCAGAAACAGCCATTATCGAATCCTGTACAACTGTCCAAGACTGGTCAAATGTTTGTTTGTGAAATTCGCTAGACTGTATGTGCATATGTGTATATGTGTGTGTGAGTTTGTGTCTTTCATGTTTGGATTGGTTAAGTCAACGGAGGGACCATTACATTCTGTCCAGGGATCTGGTTTCTGCTCCACATCTGGCCCTGCTTTATGCACCAAGACTGTTCTTTCTCTGATCTATTACAAGCTCTCTCTCACACACACCCACACACAGACACACACACAGCTTTGGATTCACTCATGCACACTTGAGTCCATCATTGTATGGACAGTGGTAGTAGTAGGTGTGTGTAAAAGAGAGTGAGTGTGCCTTCTCCCACTTGAATGTAAGTGAAACTGAGAGAACTTTGTGCTAAGTATTTTCCTCTGCAGTTCTAAATGTCCTAACATTAGCACAGCTGAACAAATACTGTCAACACCCTCTCCTTCATCTGAAATCTACTCTGCTGATTCACTCTTTCTCTTACTCGCTCCCCTTTAACTTAGACGTCTTTGAGATCTAATTCTCTAAAACTGCTGGGAAGTAGATGGGGACATTGGCGCTTGTCTGACTAGAGTCCTGGGGGTTATAAGGGCCAACCACTTCGCCTTTTTGATGTTTTCATCTTTAGACATAGGTTGAAATTTTCTTATTTTTAATATTAATTCTATGTTGGTCTGACATTTGTCTTATCAGTGGTAACCTGGTTCCTCCACACAGGCTCAGATAGGAAGGAAGCCTGCATTTTACTTTGACAATGGTATATCCAAATTGTTAGCCTACATACTGTAATGTGTACTTTAGCTTTGTTGTTAGGACAGTTGAAATAATTCCTAACCAAACACAGATTTTTGTATTCTACGGTCCACTTATGATCAGCTGTTGATTGCTTTTGTAGGACACAACAAAAGTAATGAGGAATTCACTAAATAAAAGCAGATGTTTGTGCCTTTTTGCAAAAAACATATATCTTTTAAGCACAAAATCCTTCTTAATGTCTTTTTAATCCCTTATGCTTTATTTATCTGTATCCCTTTTTACTTGTTCTCCATCTCTCTCTCACACACACACACACACATCATCATCATCATCATGCAAATGGCCAGATGTTGCTGTACTTTTAACATGTGGTTAAAGTGTTACAGTACACTCTCCCAAACTCCCCCATTGAGGAACTTGAAAGTAGTGAACCCATTAACATGACAAGGGGCTTTGTCTAAGAGATGACCTGCTTCATCTTCTTAGAACCAAAAGTCACATGTGCAGTTCTCTGGAGGCTCCTCTTTTAAAGGTTCAGGTCATAGATGTACACAGGAGAGAGAAAAGGAGGGAGACAGATGGGTGGATTTTGTATGAGAAACGTGGAAAAGGGAAAGAGGTTTTTTAGGATGTGGGAAGGAAGGAAATTTGAGATGGGGGAGATATCTTGGGATCCAATGGGTAGAGGTGTCAGTTCACCACCATGAGATCTGTGACAGTTATAGCCAGAAAATTTGGCCATTGCATCTTAGTTTTGTTCGCTGCAAAACAGCATTTTCACGTTAAGGTTAAGGCCGTTATATCTGATGAGTCTCTCCTACCGATAACAATCATATTTAAAATGTTTGACTCTGAATCAAACAGTTTAGCTTACCGGTTGGAGCTGATCAATAACTCCAATTTGAATGGAGACCATTTAAAGCAAACAAAAAAAAAAATAGAGAGAAATGTAGAGTAGAGAAAAAAGAAAACTAGTATACTAAAAAGTATTGAGCATTTTTGTTCCATTTTGTTGTAGTGTTACCCATTTACAATTCTATGGGCTTTATAAGATGCAACATGAAAACAAAATCTGCTAATGTTTGTTCAGTGTGTGATGCCCAATCATATTATCCATTGTTAACACATTCCAGAATAGTGTGTCTCCAGCTTCCCCACTGGGAGTGTAAAAAGTATGCACTCATAGCTCTTCTTTAAAGCACATCGGGTAAAATAATTCAAAATGCATATTATTTGAAATGGACAAGAAGGTCTGGGGGGGGCGAGACAGCAAACAAGAATGAAAGGAGACAGTGGAAGGTAAGCAGTACTGTGGAAGGTTGTTCAATCCTTCAAGGTTGAACTTGGACAAACATTGGTCCTGCTCACAATGCTTTACAACCATCAGAATAGCTTACTGATTTTTTCTCTCTCCCTGCTTTCTCTCTTGATCTCGCTTATTGCTCATTTCTTTTTGTGCCTTGCCACTTCTCCCTTTCATCCCCCCCGTCGCCACCCTCCAACACCCAACTGTTCAAATATTATTTCTCCCCCTCCTGTCGTCCTCTCCCCCCTTTTTTTCTCCCTCTCTTTATCTTGTCATTGCCTGTCAGTAGGGATTCTATCTGCACTGAGTGTTGTGTGAGCGCGTATCTGTGAACACATTGAGACTGAGATACACTTAAGAGCTCATTGATTTAAAAATACCTTCGATATTGGAGGTCCCCTCCTGCAGATTCGTTCAGAAGCTTATCACACACGCATAGACATCCACGTAGAGATATGCATAAACCAAAGCTCCACTCCAAAGTTTCTCCTTAAACTTTGTGATTGACCTAGTTAGTGTGTCGTTTTGACAAGTTGTCTGTTTTGACACGACATCCTCCGGTGTTTATCAACATCCATTCTGCCTATCACATGCTCACATTGGGAATTCACACACACACGCAGACACACACGTTCAAAGATAAATCACGCTAAGATTTGGAAATTGGCAGAAAGTAAGTGTTGTGTTTGCTATGGGTAAGTGGATTGACTTGCATTTGTAACAACAATAAATTCTCTGGTCATTTTTTTTCTGTGTGTGTGTGTGATGTCCGCGGAATACAAAACACAACCTGTATTATTCCTGTTCAGGGTATTTGTGCGAGCCTGTGAGTGTTTACATGAGCGCTCATTTGTTATTTAGCTGCTATGTGCATCGCAGTGTGTATGCAGTGTTGTTTTTTTTTTCTCCTTTCTTTTCCCCCTTCCTCTTGCCATAGCTCAGGTTTAGTGTGTTTAGCGAGCCTGGCCGCTGACAGCCAGAGGTGAGAGGTCAAAGAGCCAAGTTAACTCCATCAATTCCCCTGGACAGTTACAAACGAGCTCTCAACTCTGGTCAAAACAATCCCTGGATCATGCAGGACGGACAGGAAGGTGGGGAGTGATGGAGAGAGAAAAGGGAGTGAGCATTTGACTCAGCTTGGCATGAAGGACTGTTATGTGTGTGCATAAATCAAAAGTCGAAACTATGTCTGCATCAAATGCGTATACCAGTAATAAATGTGAAGTGTAAATTATTTTTTTGCATTGTGGAGTAAGGCTGTGGTCTTATCCCTATGTCATTATAAAGCAACTTACTACTTTACTACCTATATATTAAAACAGTCAAGTGCCCTGGTACCTCTTTTTTGAAGGTTATCTGGTTCTCCTTTCAACCTCAAAAAGCTTGAATGAAAGCTCGAGCATCTTAAAAAACTTTAGTCAGACAAAAGTGCTTACAAAAAGGTCAGACAACATGAGAAACCTATTTAGCTCAGAATTGACAGCACATAATGGCACATACCTGGCCGTTTTGACTGACCTCAAACAGAGAAAAGCCTTGACAGGGCACACAAACACAAACACAAACAGAAAATTAAAAAAAAAAGTCAAAAACATTTCCCTAGCAAACTTGTGAGGAATTACACCCACATGAAGGCACGTGCAGACACACACACACACACACTTTGGCAAAGAACTAAAGTGGGTAATTAGGGAAGGTCACCAAGGAAACAGACAAACACAAGCAATTGTCAGACACACTGTATACTCACGAGAAGCACAAACAACCGTTTCTCTTTATGTACCGTCATCCACCCACCACCAGCACCAGCACCAGCACTACTGTTGCCTCAAACACAACTATGAAAACAAAACTTAGATACTTTATCTCAAGTTTTGTAAACAGCAACCTATGTTCTCCTGTTTCCTGAGAGATACAGTGTGTGTTGCCAACGATTGAAGGAGATACGATCCTTAACATAATGTTACTTCAAAATATCATTAACCGTGTTTTTTTCCAACATCCTTAAAGCATGAAAAATATGTTTTTGTTTTCCAGATTCAGAAGAGGGAGATTAAGATGTGCGTTCTGATGAAAGAGCTCACAGAGAGTAAGAAGCAGCACTCTGAATGTCAGAACGAGGTAAAAACCACAGCAGCTTCATCGGTTCAGTTTAGTTTAGCTTATTTGAACATACCGTATAATAAAAAAAGTTTGAACATCGTGCAGGGGAGATTGTAAGTAAAAAGTTGCTTATGAAGATACGTCCCCTATATAAATATAAATAGTCATACTTAAAAAAACAAAACAAAGATTGCATAATTCTTTATAGCTTAAAAACTAAACAGTAATTCATAGATTACATAGATGTTTATGTTTGAGATGTATTAATATATATTATTATTATAATTTTTATAAATCTTTGCCAATAAGAGTCCTTTTCAAATGTTTTTTTGAAAAATGTAGATGTACATAGTGATATTGAGATGGAAGGAGGTTGCTCTAAAGAGATGATCCTGTGTATTTCAGTGAATATTGATTAAGGGAAGTCTGACCCTATGGAAGATTAAATACCTGTCTTGTGGAATATGAGTGTCTGAGAAAGACTTAAAACAATTCTGGAAAACACTAGGCAAGTCATGAGTGTACATATTTATACAATTTATACATGAATACAGTCTGGTATATGTTCAGACATATAAAAATACATTCCAAAAATACATAACAAAATTGATATAAGTTAGAATTTTCTCAACAGAGAAGCAAATGAGTTTAGTAAATGTGCTGCAATTACCTGATTTGAACAGGGTATGACTTTAACTACTTCAAGGTCTCTTGAGGGATACAGTTAAAACATGGGTGAGGGGGCTCAACAATAGAGAAAGCTACTTTCTTTACAAGACTAGATCTTATTTCATCCTGTCTTGCAGATGAGTCTTTATTTTCCAGTACAGTGTCATACAGGGTTAAACTGGTCATTCATATTTACAAAGAGTGATTCATCTCTTGTGTTTTCTATATTTTTTGCCTAAGAAAGACCAATATTTACAAAAGAAAGATTATTCTCCAAACTGGTTTTGCTAATGCTCATGATCCTATTAACCTTAACTGTGTTAGAATATTGTATATCAAATAAATTAATAAAAATAAAAGTTACTGTGAATGAAGTTACATTAATTTGATAATGGAAATTATTACTAAGTTTAATTATACTTTCCATGTATTATACATTAGTTAATAGTAAGTTAGGTTTGTGATCCTAGAATTAATCTCATGTTGCTTTTGTATTTTAAGGGTGTTAGTTAAAGTTAAAGGTTTTCATTGTCCAAATGTGGGTGTCGTGAAGTACTCCAAGATTTTACCACCAATTAAAGAAACTTCATTTAATTGCATATTTTCCAGTTGCTCCGAAGAGAGAAAGCTTCAGAGAAACTGTGCGAAGAGAGGGATAAACTGATAGCCAAGATGGAGGACCGGGGCAGAGAGTGTGTCCACCTCCACCAGACCAAAGAGAGACTGGAGGCGGATTTGGCTCTGAGCCATGAGAAACTCCACACCTCACACCTGGAGGTCCATCTCTGTCTGTCTCTGTGTACATGTGTTCATGTGTTTGTGTGCCCTTGCATGCATAGGTCAGAGCAGCAGAGCTTATGTTGTTTACCAAATACTTAACTACAGGAACATAATGGGCTAAATATGCAATTTATTGGATTTTACTTTAATTGAAGTGTAGTTTCTGTGTGTTTAGGTTCGAAGCAGAGATCAGTTAATTCTGCAGTTGAGAGCTGAAATGAAAACAGCTGAACAAAAGCATCAAAGGACACAGGGACAGGTATGGTTGCTTGTTTGTGTCTGTTTGCTGATCATTTATGTATTATGTCCTTATCAGAATATTTTTTATGATTTGTTTACTGATTTCCTGTGTGTGATTTGGGTGTACTTTCAGGTTATAATATTGAAAATAGTAGTACAATTTCTAAAATACCATACTTTTAATATTGCAAAATGTGCGTCTCCAAGCTGTGTTCCACGAGAAATAATTTGTGTTTTTCAGATTTGTTTCTGTTTTTTGGGTTTTAAATTTGTCTCAGGGCTTAAATTCACTTCTAGGTAGTACAACAACCGGTCTTGCTATTTTTTGGTATTTCCTTTCATATGCTGAGGCTAGGTTGAGTGAGCACCCTTTCTCCAACAATGACCTGTTTTACACCCACAGAGTTGCACACATCCACTCGAGGGAAGTGCCCAAACCAGCAGCAGTCTTCTACTGTTGGCTACTGAGCAGCTCCATTAGAGCAGTGGGAGGCGTAGCACCTTGCTCAAAGGCTCCTCGAAAGTTGGAGCTAAGGAAAAAGGGAATCGTTACTCATTCATGTCTACTGTGCCCACATTTTCCCAGCTGGTCCTGAAACTAAACTGGGAAACTCTCTGACTCAAGCCTCATTCCCTCACTTTTAGGCTACTGCCGCCCCCTCGCTGTTTTTTCGGTTCGTCTGTGTGTGCTTTGTATTCCTACATAGAGTTATTCCGTTTCCATCCTTTTCAGTTTTCCTCTCGTTCTCTTACTTCTTGCTCAGGTGGCAGCGCTGGAGGGTGAGTTAAGCCACTTGAAACCCAAGGTCAGAGGACACCAGGAAGAGGCCTGTCAGTTAAGAGAAAAGGTCAGCGGTATCGAGCGCCTTAAAGACCAGAAGGAGAAAGAACAACAGCAGCTACACGATCAGCTCCGTATTAGTCAGCAACAGGTAAGGAAGATATTATGCCTTCTCCTCTTCACCTGTGCTCATCTCCACCTCCCCTACAGGTGAAATCTCTGGTGAAATCTATAGATCAGTTGAACTCCGACCCAGAAGCTGTGAAACCGAATTGACACGGAACTCTGGAGCTGGAGGAGAGTCCTGCTTCACAGCCGATTGAAGCAGAACAATTCTGAGCTCAGCCAAATACAGAGCAGACTGAAGGATGGAAAGTCAGAGGTCATGAAACTCAAGGACAGTTTAAGTCAGCAGCACAGAGCCGTAGAGAAAGTCTTTTGTGAGTTCAGTTGTCAATCAGCTGAGCCGTGATTCTACGGGAAGACAATCTGTGGTGTTAATCCAGTAGACAGCATAAAAGAAAAATCCAAATGCGTTTATCCGTCTGAGTGCGAGTGATCTAAATCACAGTAGACAATCAAGCAGTCAGAGTGTTCTGCCAGGAACAACAAACTCACCCATTTGAAGCAGACAAGCTTTACTCTACAGTCAACTTACATATATTCTCATCTACATCATCTGAATTAACAAACAAGACAAGATGACCCCTCTGTTTGTCAACCTCTCACATCCAATTGGATCCAAACATGAATACAAAAAGAGGGAAAGAAAGACCCAGAGATTAAAAAAAAAGAAAAGAATAGGAGAATGAAGTTATTATCAACTGAGGGTCAACTTGGGTAGTCATGTGACAGCCATGAATACTCAAATGGCAGGCCAAATGAGGGTCAAAGGGATGTGTTTTCCATCATATTTAATGAGGGCTGTTTGTTTCCCCAAAGCACAAGCTCCTGATTATGGTCACAAGAAAGCCATGGTGTTCCCATTAAGCCTTGTTATAAGGCCTTTCATCCAGCGACAGAAAGAAATGCTAAATCCACCATTAGTGTTTGGACTGTAGGGAAGTGAATATATTAAAGGGAAAGAAATACTATGAGAGAAAGCCAGTAACATAATATAAGAGGTAAAGTTGGCATATGACACCTTACTTTATATTGTTTGTGTATGTTTCATAGCATGACTTTAAAACTGTTACCTGGGGCTGAGTCAATGGTTTTAAACAGTCCACACACACACACACACACACATAGACACACACATACATACACCTACACAGGTTGTTCAGTTTTTGACTCTAAAGCAGAGAATAAAAGTTGACGGTGCTCCTCCATCCTCTCCTCTCTTCTGGTTTGTGTCTCTTTCTTCCTTTACATGAGCAAGTTTTCTACTCAGTCATGCTGCCTCCTACCCGGTGTTAGTCCTAGATGGGCCCAGCTAATCCCTGGTTAAACCAAGCTGCGGTGAACTACTGAAATCTAACTAGTTGGCTGTCATTAGTTGTAAACCCTCATGTTCTGATCCAGATTACAACAGGATTAACGTGGATGAACTCAAGCTGAGTGTTAGAGCGGGTTTAACTTTCTCAACCTCTCTGCTTGAAAGGTGAGCTACGGTAGGATTCCTTGTGTAACACCGGGATTAAGCTTGGTTTCACTTCCTGGGTTCCCCTTTCATTATGAGCGAGGTTACTGTAGAGCAGCACAGTGTATTACACCATTACACCAAACTAGCATATGTCTATTTTTCTATTTATTTCAATAACAATAAGTCATGATGAAGCATCATATCCTGTATCCTGTTTCTCTGTTTGATTCTGTTGTATTATTATACTAATAATGATGGTTATTGCTGTAATAGTTACTACTAAGTTTATTCTTTATGTGTGCCTACGTTAGGGCTTCCCACTACTTTATTCATTAGCTACTCGCAATTCAGTCCCTTTCACACTTGGCAGCTGTTTCTCAGGAGCACCTCCATATGAGTCCAAATGCTACTCTCCTTTAAAAACAGTGTTTTGGTCACTCTACCAAACCTTCAGGCTACAGCTGTTCCACTTAAGTAAAGAGCAAAGGTTTATTCTCATCAACATTTGTGCTTCGTTTAACTATGTCTACTTTACAGGTCAAGACATTTGAAGGGAAGCTAAAGGAGCAGGAGGTTGAGATGGGACTTCTTCATCAGCAGCTTAAAGGAGCCAAGGAGGAGCTGAAAGATGCCCAGGGGCAGAAAGAAACTGCAGCCATCTTTAAACAAAAGTACACAGCAGCAATAGAGAAGGTGCACAGGGTGCAAGAGCAGGTGGAACTTTTGGATGAGGAGCTACAGTATTCACAGCAACAGGTAGATCATAGTTTACAGTATATTATCATATCATGCTTGCTCAGAGATTTCATCAGCTCTTTACTTATTCAACATTTTCTGTATAACATGTCTTCAGTACTGGGAGTGAAACGATAGTACAAAATTCTGACATTGCCTTATTCACCGTGTTTAATTGGCAGCTAAGAGAGTCCCAATCAGCAACTCACTCGGTGAAGGAAGAGCTAGCTGAGATGGTGAAGCGGTACCAGGAAAAGGTTGGCCAATGGGAGAACGCACAGGAGGCTCTTGACCAGTTGACGGATGAGCTCCAGGCCAATCAGAATTTGCTGAGGGAGAGTCAGCAAAAAGTGGACCATCTCAAAGGTCTGATAGGATCACTGCAGGAGCAGGTGGACACACTCAAACAGCAGGTCAGGACAAACATGTTCACACTATATACACTAGCGTATGTAGACACAACAATAACAGGCATAAATCCAGACACAAATACACATTCAGAACTCAGATTATTCATTCTTTATCAGTAATTACCACTAGATATATTTTGTCATTTTGTTTTTTGTTTTACACAAGAAACTCTGTTTCATTGTACAGACTAATTCCTTATAAAATGTCCATGTAACAATCTGTGATGCTGCATGGGAGTTAATTAGTTGAAACATTAGGGTTCAGTCTCTCTTTTAAAAATAAATGCAAACATTGTTTCAATTTTCATAGTGCTTGTATATAATTTATGTGAACTCACCGGAGTTCCCAACAAGAAGATTTGGATTACATGCATCAGTGTTTAGGTTAAGTCAAATGGGTGTCTCTGTGTTCTTGCGTGTGGTCCCAGGTGTTCGCTTGCTCCATTGATGTTGTGTGAGTGCCTGCAAGGCTATATTCCTTTGTGTGCACGTGTCATTGTACACACGTGTATGTGTGTGTACAAGTGTACGTTTGTGCATGTGTGCACTGGCGTGTGTCACTTAATCTTTTCTCCTTTTTCTTTCTGTTTTATATTTACTACGTCAGGCAACAAATGAATCATCTTTATTACGGAGAAATTTAATTTGGATGAACTTAACTGCTGCCGCCAAGGTCAGACGGGCAGAATGTCATTTTAATCCAATCAACTTTAATCTGTTGGTTATAAAAGAGTTAGGCTGTTGAAGAATGGCTGTATCTCAGGCCCTTTATTACACTGGCTAATGACTTTGATTGTGAGGCGCCTATCAAGAGGTTAGGAGTTCTTATGGAGCTTCACGTCCTGCTAATTCTCTACCTCATGCCACTGTTGGGCTCAGCTAACCCGAAAAGTACTATTGTCCTCATTCCCTGTTTACAAGAAACTTTAAATTGTAAAAAAAAAGAAATTGATATATATATAATTGTAATATAAAATCATTGTAAAAGTTATAGCATAAGAAAAACAAGTGGAAATGTACTCAGTATCTTGAGTATCAAATGTTAATGCTATCTCTATTCTAGTCCATTTGTATTCTGACTAGGGAATATTTCACTATAAAGTAAAGATGAATACAGGAAGACAATTTCTCTCCTTTCCTACAAAGATTTCTTTTTTTGAATTAGTTACATAATTTGCCTATATAACGGACAGCAGATAATAGACTAAGATTGAGGGTAGTGACGCATTAGCAATACATGTAGAAAATACAATGAGCTATATGGTCTTTTAATTGGGACAGAAACGCTAAGATCTGAAAGGTACTATTGGCTATTGTAGTTTCTGACTATAGATTTACTTGTTAATGTAATGTTGAATGTGTGTTGGCTGTGTGTCAGCTGTGCTTGGAACATCAAGGCCAAGTGTCTCTGTGCTCTGCGATGCAACAAATCAATTCACAAATGAGTGTAATGCATAATGATGTGTTGCCTTAATCAGTGTCATTGTCATTAATTAGTTAACCAAAATGCATCTAATCTGTTGAAATACAATTCATCTAAAATGCATCCCTCTGTGGCTTTGCTTTTTTAAGTCATTTTTGTTTCTGTTTTAGATCAGTTGTTGTTTGCATTTCGGTGGTTACATTTTCAGTGTATGATTGACTGAAATCAGCAAAAACAAGAAATATGATCTGTTTTTCTTGTCTCACCCTCCCTATTTCACCTGTTCTCTCTACTCATAGAAACTGATGTTGGAGTGTGACCTACAGCTGTATCAGCAGAGTCATTCTCATTCTGACGAGGAGTATCTTAGCCTGTTGAGACACAGACAGCAGCTGCAGAAGGTAAGGTCACTGATAGTACTACACATTAAGGTTGCACCTTACGGATTACACACTGTGCATATTATCATCACAATAAACCATTAGGATATACCCGATAGAGTACTTATAGTTACATTCACAGTCAACAATTGATTAGGTTAAATTTGTTTATATAAAAAAAAATAAAATGCATTTGAATACAGAATTAGGTGTGAAGTTAGTTTTAGATGTACATTGATAAAAAATTAAGCTACATTCCAGTGCCCACTTTTTTTTCCGTGTGTGTATCTGCATGTGTGTGTGTTTCAGCGCTGTACCGAGCAGGTTGAGGGCCTTGCGGAGTGTGAAAAGGCTATTCTTCAGATGAAGTCAGAGCTGCAGAGACAGTAATAACTAAGTCCATAAAACTCTCATTCTCCTCTGCTGATCCTGGTTCCTGTCTTTGTCTCTTCTCTCATGCCCTTCCCATCTTCCTCCACCCCCTACTCACTGTCATTCTCTTAACAGTCTCCTTGCCAAACGCCACACAGTAGCACACTATATGTAACATGGAAAATTTTACATAATCTATTCAAATCATTTCTTTGAATTTAGGTAATCTGGTTTATTTAGTTCTTGTTGTACACATGTTTTTCTTTGTTCGTCTCACTGTGTTGTTTCTCTTTGCTCTCCTCCCTGTAGAACCCAGGAAAAAGTGGGTCTGAAGCAAAGTCTTGTTGCGTCTCGCCGTACGCACATCAGCAATCGCAGCCAGCTGGAACAGGAAGTGCTATGTTTGAAAAAGGAAGTTACACGTTTAGAGCTTGAGCTGTCAGACACCCAAAAGGTATTAAAATAGTGTGTATCTGCTGACCCTTCCTCTAATTTAGAAACAACCATATTATACTGACCTTTTTCCCTTTCACTCTTTTGAATTCAGAAGCCCCAACTCTTGTCCCAAAATGTTGCCTATATGCATGCATCTCAGGCTAAGAACATGAGCTCCATGAGATTCAATTCAAGTTCCCAAAGAGGAGTACTCAACCCACCTCCACCGGCACCACACACCCACCACTCGTGATTGCCCCGTGATTGCGTGGCAGAAACAAATTGCCTCGCCAATAATTAAAGCACCAAACATGCCAAGGCTGGTGAAATTGACTCCAATTAAGAGCTCAATGGGACACTAAATATTCAAATTACTCAAAGTGGTGACTGTAGCCTGGCAGAGTGCCAACATTGCTGGCAGTCATAGACACATAGTGTGTGTGCGTGTGTGTGTGTGTGTGGTCTTGTATGCTTAGGTGGAAGTGGTAACATTTGATTTTACACATTAATTTGTGCGTCCTCTGGCACATATAAGTGATAGACATGTCATGCTTACGAAGATCATATGAATGCACACACATTTTATTCTCGCAAACACACACACACACACACACACACACACACACACACACAACTGTAGTATATTCTATTCTTGCTGTCAGGTCTTGTCCATTAATCCAGCCTACTCCTCTATGGAATATCACATAATGAGTCTAAGTTGAAGGTTCCATCTATGTCTTTATGTATGTTTTTCACAGACACGTGTTATTCAAACAAGGTTTCAACAAGATTTTGAAGCCGTCCATTGCCTTTGTTTCTCTAGCTGTACGGCCATGGCAATTTTGCATTCTTTTTTTTGTTTCAGTTAAGGTTTCCCATGGATAAAAGCAAATGTAAGCAGGGATACAAAATCACATAAATGGTCAATCAATACAGAGTTTAGGGTCCTTCTGAGAAATATGAAGCGAATTCCAAATACAGTCAAGCAAGATCCTTGATCTGAACACCCCTCACTTATGCTGCAGGTACATGTGGGACTTCTGAGACAGTCAGAGGAGCTGAAGGAGGCCAGACGAGAGGCGGCGAGAAGGAGCAACGAGGTTGGTGTGCAGAGAGGAGAGGTGCAAAGACTTCAGGGAGAGTTACAAAAGGGGGAGGAGGAGATGAGGAGTGCCATCAGAGAGAGACAGAGTGTCAGCAGTCACATCAGGCGGTTGAACCAAGAGCTGGAGGAGCTACGCAGCAAGCACAAAGTGACAGGTAGCAATCAGTCAATAAATCCATCAGTTATCCATTTCATCCATCCATCTGTCCATTTATCCATCAAATAACTTTTAAGTCAAAGATATACACATAAATACAGTGAATACAGTATACATACAGTTTTTGATTCACTTGCTAAATCATTTATTTTGAAATTTGACTGATGGCCAATATGTCTTTTACACCTGCGCAGTTGAGCAAGTGATGCACAAGCAACTTAACATGAGGTTGTTGCTTTTTTTTTAGAAGAATTAAGCTTTTATCTCACTTCACTGTTTGATTACTTTCCCTTTCTTGTTTGAACTTTGGGACAATGTTGTCCATCAGAAGCATATAGCATGCTGGAGGAGCTCTACAGTCTGCTCTGCCTTTTGTTTGCAGAACCAGCCACACTGCTGTTAGCTCAATCAGTTAGCTCAAATTAGCCAGTAGTGTGGTGATTCGGTTGCTAGCTGTCTGCACGCAATGTTAACTCAGACACACACACACACACACACACACACAGAAACCGTAGATAGAGGTTTGATTTAATGGCGCGCTGCTTTAGCTGTATGGTAATGATCTGGTTTATGTGTGTGTGTGCATGCATGTGTGCGCGTGTCTGGTGGTGGCCTTTGTAGTAGTGTGTCAGTGCAGGAATGGTGATGGCTGGGTCTCTCTGGGCACAGAAATGTCTCATTAAGAATTAACGTACACATCTACGGTCACGCCAGGCAAACACCTCGCATACACACACGCATGCAGCCATTTCTCCCAACTCCCACTGCTTTAATTAGCGCATACACACTTGCTCTCCGAGGTACAAATACACACACACACTCACCTATTGTCCGCAGAGAGATGAATCTGAGGTCTCTCTCTGTGGCAGACAGTGGCTGGCTTGCTCGGTGAACACTGCTCATTAACAAGATAGAGACAGAGGGACAACGCCGTGTAGCTTGGCCTTTGTCTGTGATCAAAACGCATTCTCTCAACTCTACGCTCTGCACAAAACCACATATTATTCAGCTTTTACCTTCAGCAAATACAATCCAGCAACGTAGAGCTTATTGTAAGGACTTAAGAAGAATAAAGATGCATTATTATAACAAAGGGGGCATTGTTTACCTGGATATAGCAGTGGCCTGAATAGACTGGGTGAGGAGTTAACTTGATAAAATTACTGTCATGAACAAAAGGCCTTTTTATTAACATAAAGCCCTCGCTGAGGTTCCTTCTGTATAATGAAAACATTGCCTTGAGTGGTGATGATTCTTTTTGTTGCTTGATAACGGTAGACTTGGACTAGAATGGAGTGGATTGTGAAAATGAACAGGTTAGAAGGTTAGAATGCAGATTGTTGTAATACAAATAGGTATACAGTAAAATAATGAGGAAAAAACAGGACTTTACCAAAGTAAATTTTCATCAAAACCACATATTTTGAGGCGTTTACTTTATTTTATAACTGTATGTACTGTTATAATGGGTATCTAGTTTTTTTATCTATGTCGTCTTGGCAGTCGGCTGCTACACATTTTTTATACATTTTTTATGCTCTCTATCAGAGCATTTTTAGTTGTAACATTGTTGGGTGATGTGAGACTGGTAACATGTTATCTGAATCCCACAGTTAACTGGATGTATATAAAACTGTAGCTGGGAGGTGATGGATATAATATTAAAAGGTGTCTGCGGCCAGATAGATAGAGGAAGAAAGGAACAGAGGATAGGATGATGCCAGACAACCAGAGAAGTGTCATATGGATGAGACTGAAGAGTCTGTAGGCAGCTGGATTCAATCAGATTGTGGCAGGAGAGGATGAAGAGAAGGGAGGTGATTAAAAAGGAGAGAAAAAAGTCCTTAAAGTTGGCTTATGACTGTATGTGTCAAATTTACTGTCAGTCTTTAACAGCATGCGTTTTCTGTATGATTCTCAGTTCAGTAGATATTCTGTTATTTGCATAATAGTGAGTCCAGAGAGTAAATCACACAACACTTAATAAACTACATGTAGTGCTAAGAGAATGCCAGTGTGTGTACAGTACATATACTGATGTAGATGATGTACAGTATATCTGGTTATTTTAAACTGAATTGAAAACTGATATGTGGCATGATTTTTTAAATCTTAGACACTTACCGTCGTAGTGTGTGTTAGTTAGTAAGTGAGTTTATATGTTTGTACTGGACACTTTTTTAATATAACATTTCAACAGACAACAAACAGAGAGGTGTAAATTAGTGAACGCTGTTACTAATTGGTTTCACAGGTTACTGGGTGTGGTATATTCTAAAGTTAATTGTTTTGGTAAGAATGTTTTTACCACCTGCCTGTGAAATTCAAACAGGGATGGATGTTTAAAAAATTCAAATGTGGCTGATTGTGTCATCTTACATCTTAAATAAGATGTGTTGTAAGGTTGGCTGTAATGTGAAATAAATGTGATGCTGTGTGACAACAAATGAAATAACAGCATAAACAAAAACACAATATCCATATTTCCACACTTCCATAAAAACAGAAATGTGATATTACCTCCCCTCTGTGCTGCTGATGTGCATCTGCCTAAAGATGATGAAATCATTATTGTGTGCGCATGTGTGTGTGCGCGCGCACAAGTGTGTGCGTATGTGTATGTGTGTGTGTGTGTGTGTGTGTGTGTGCTGCTATCCAATCTGGATCCCTGGACGCACACGTGCACAGGCCTCTCTCCTCCAATTCACCTCTATTACTAGCTATAATCCCATTTCACACTCTATCGATCCCCAAAACTGTTGTTCACCGGAACCAGCAGCAAACACTGGCATTTCTCCCCATCATTTCACCACCATTGTTCTTTATTACACAAAGAAGCCCCCCCTTTGTCTCAGAGCAAACTCAGCCCTGCTGAAATATGAATTATAAATGTATGGCTAATAAAAGAGAAGGGGGGAAAGAGAGAGACAGAAGGGGAGAGAGATAGAGATAGAGAGAAGTGGTTGGTAGAAACATCAGAGAAAATGACTCCTTTACAAGAGTCTATTGATCAGTTTCTATCAAAGGGGGATGTCAGACATGAGATTACCTGGCAGTTTGAGCATTAGGTGCCGTGTGTTATAGCCCCGGGCCCTTGTACCGCTGCCAGAGGATTGTAAATAAAGCGGAGAGGAGAGAGCAAGAGGGGAGTGTGTTGGGGTGTATGTGTGTGCATGAGTTTTAGATTCTACGTGTGTGTGTGTTAGTCTTTGTCTTTGTGAGTGTTCGCTGTTGTGTGCATGGGATTTTTTTTTTTTCTTGTGGTGTATTTGTGTGCATGACGGTGTGCGGCTGTGCGCCTGCACCTTTTGGCTTATACCCAAAAGCAGTGTTGCAAGCCCATGAAACTTCAGAAAGAGAGAGAAAGAGTCTTGGGAGGCTTTGGGACGTCTCACGGGAGCACCTTAGCCCGCTACGAATCCCCCAACAAAGCCAAAGGAAGCCCCTATGAAGCCTTATGAAGCTTTTATGAGGGCCAGGCAGGGCCCAGCTCTACCCCCAGCCACTGATTCAGGGTTAGCCAGGTTTTCGTCCTTCTCATGTTAAAGGTTAGCTGTGAGAGCGGGGTAATCTGACCGCAGATCGGTGATTATAGGCCGATGCTGTATGATGGGCTTTGAAGCTCGTATGAAGGCATTGAAAGGGAGTGATCGAAAGAGAGAGTTAGATTATAGACTAATGTCATACCTTAAGTTGTGAAGCCATTATAAAAGGGTCAAGAAAGTCAGAGAGTGAGGGACCCAAGATCTTAGATTGCGCACTAATATCATAACTTAACTCACAAAGCCACTAAAAACAGGCTGTAAAAGACCCCAGACCTCAGAATATGGACTACTGTTCAACCTTAAGCTATTAAGAAGAATTGAATGTGGAGAAACCCACAGTCCTCTGCGGATCCTCAATTAATGTGGAACATTTTGGCAGTATTCAATCCCCGCTAAGCTGAATATACCACACATCTTATGTATTTGTCTAAAGTAAACACCTGGTTTATGGCTGCATGTGTGCTGCTGTTTGCTTTCTACCTGCTGTTTTATATTTCTAGAAATTTTAACTGATAGAGAAAGCTGTCTTAATTTTGTGTTTCAGCTATGTGTGTGTATAGCTTTGCCTGTGTGTGTTCTGGTGCAAATAGGAGTGTTTGTGTAAACGGTCAGTATATGTAGCTAATTGCTCTCTCTGTGGCTTTCCCTGGTGGGAGGTATCACTGAGGTCACCTCAAAACTAATGACTTGAATGTGAATTTGATCCCCATCTCTGCTTTATCGATTATTGAGATTCATAGCAAACTTTAACCTTGAGGTTCAGTAAAATAGCCAAGGTAGGGCACACACACACACCAGCAAATAAAAGTGTTTGTGCATCATTAAATATTTAGCAATTCGAGTTGCCGCTTCAATTTTCCTAGGGCTTCAGTTTAAACATTTTGGATGCTGCAACACCATAAATTAATCATAGTTTTATTAAATGTAGATTTTCTTTTCTCTATTTCTTCCTTTCTGGTATTGGTTTTAGCTTCCCCCTATTCAGTCTGTCCCACCACGACCAACACAGCCTGGTGCGTGGCCCTAAAAGCATTACAGCAATACGCATGCAACATTTCTCTATTTCTATTTCACACACTCAAATACACATGCACGCCCACAAAGTCAAGGTCCGTCCTGTAAATATTCAACACACACACATACTCAGGAGCGCATACACACCTCTACATATTCAGTGCACACACCTTCTCAATATTCACTAGCCTTGGCCACCGATGGCTGACAGTTTATGTTATATTCAATGAATACTGAATTTAGTGAAAAGGTTTTAGGAGCTATGAAGAAACATTGACTCACAAAACAGCATACAGAACAAAAAAAAAGGGGGGTGGAAGGAAGCAAATCTTAAATTTTAAATTCAAACTAAAAAGGGCCTGTGAAAGCAAACCTAACCAAGGAACCTGACTAGTGGTTTATTATGCATCCGCTCAATGTACTAAACTACTAAGTGTAGGACAATGGGGTTTTATTGCATGGAGACGGAGGAGATGGTTGAAAAGGGAATGTGATTGAAGGGATGCAGTCAGGAGTATGAGCTCAAGTGGCCTGCTTAAGGTAAAGAGTGCCATCTATTGATGAAGTCTGGCAGCGCTTCTTTTGTCTCTCAACAAAAGGGCTGCTGCCCCGACTCAGTGTAAGCAGTGCAATACTTTCACTCCTTCCTTCTCTGCCTCTGAAAGGCATTCAGTGCCTCTTCTGTGGTGGAGTTCGTCGTTTGGCTTTGAAGGTGGCTCGCAGTTCATATTTTCCCACTCATGCTGAACTTGAGTAACCTCTGTGTATGCATGTTTTGTAAATCATTCTATTAACCTTGGTCCGCTGGAAGACGTGAAGTATTTAAGAAGTGAAGCATTGTGTTAATCTTTACTCATGTCATCTATTTCTTTCTTTAAATATGGTGAAAAACAAAATCAACTCAGCCTCAAGAACTATCTGACACCATTTTATTAATATCGCAACTGGAAAATGTCTTTTTTTTCCATGTCAGTTGAATTAGACCTACTCACTAATGAATCTGGAACAACAGCAGTCTGAAGTGAAATGCTGCTCTTTATCTCACACTTTTCTTCCTCTGTCCGTCTGTCTCTCTGTCTCTCTCTCTCTCTCTCTCCCTCCCTCTCTCTCCTGCTCAAGCTGGAGGGGAGTTGGCAGGCCCGTTGCAGGAGAGGGCGACCCAAGCGCGGTAATGGAGGGTGCCCTGAATGGAGGAAAGGGCTAGCAGAGGAGAAAATAAGGTAAAAAGGGAGAGAGGGAAAGAAGCTTCCCCTCTTATCCCATTTCCCATCGTCCCCTGTGTAAGCTCAGTAATCAAAAACATTTCGCTTTTTTTACATGCGGCATACAGTAGGCTGTTTAACTGAACATGTGTTGAACAGAACAGCCCTAAGCTCTAAATACGTACATTGTTTAAGAGAGTCTACAAAGCAAAATGCCTAACTTCTAGGTCTATCATACATAATATCATTATTCGCCAAGATCTGAAAACCAACTGAAAATGGCTGTTCTGTTTGGCATATTTCCGTTCCTGAGTGAATCTAACAGAAATATCAAAATGTGTATCGATGGGACACGGTAGGTAAGCAGATGTTAGGTCATGGAGTTCAGAGTTCAGAGGTGAGACCCCTGGTTGACCCTGGTGTGTCACCAGAGCTGCGGTGATGACATCAGCAAGCATGTATCACCCAGCGGAGTGTGTGTTTGTGTGTGTCTGTTTGTGCGCACCATAGTTGTGGTGGTGGGCTTTGGCTTCGACATGACCTCAATGCAACGGTCTTTCGTCTTAGGGAATTTCTCCTTGGTTAAGTTTGAGCCATTGGAACATTTTCATTGTCAACCGGCAATTTAAAACTCGGCATGGAGACTTTATAGGTTACATTCTGAATTATTGCATTTTATTACATTTAAACCAATTTTAGATACCGAATGGTAAAACAATTGCTGTGTCTGCATATTATATCCATTTGCAGAATCATGCTGTTTACTGTTAACCCAGTATTATCTAATAACTGCAAAGACATGAAAGGTTTTTAAGCAACAACACCATACTAATGGCTTCCATCTGTGCTGTGGGAAATCCCCTCCTTTCTCCACAGGATGCCTCCTCTCTTTCTTTCCTTTCTCTCTCCCACTCTGTTCATCCTATCATGTGTTCTCTCCATGGACCGATCTATCAGGCATTTTCTTTCCTTTTTGTTTTGGCTGTTCTGCTCCTGCTTCAGCTTTTACTACCACTAAGTTACTCTATTAGTATCTGTTTTAAGTTTAGTGCTGATACATTAAGTCAGTTAATGTGTTGAGATGCAGACAGATAGTCAGCTATAATTTATTTGGAATATAAATTTAACAATTTGTATTTTACATCTTTTTTCAAGATAATTAATTAAAATTGCCAAGCTTTTGCTGGTTATGCCTTCACAACTGCTAAGATTGACTTTTTACTTTCATTTTATGAATAATACTGTACTTTTGAGTTTTTTACATAAAATGTTGCATCTCTACTGGTAGTCTAGGGGTGTCAGACGCTGACCATAAAATTGTAGTGTCTCCAATTCCAGCCCATCTTTAGCTGATTTCCAGCTTTCTACTATATACTTTATAAATATAAATATAAATATAAATATATATATATTTTTTAAGTCTTGAAAAATACCTCAAACTTTGAACTAATTAATTTTGATTTAAGTAATTTTTTAAAAGTAAAAATGACAAGAATTCTGTGGTCCCTGCTTCTTTGGACTGTTGGTCGGACAAAACATGTCATTTGAACAAATTACTTTTGGTTGTGGGAAACTGATGGACAGTTTTCACTGTTTTCTGACATATTATATATGAAGTGATTAATCAATTAACCAAGACAACAATCTGCAGATAACTGTAATAATAATTGAAAGTTGCACTCTTAACAAAATGTGGGCTTTAGTAACTAGTGGCAGTTAATAGACTAAATGATTAGCTGAAAAAATATAAAATAATGTATAGAGTCAGTGGGCTAAATATTGAACTGTGCATTAATTTTTCTGTATTTTTTTTGGATGTGTCAATTTAACACAAATGCCAATATAAACTAATAAAGTCAAATGCTGACTGTGTGCTCTTTCCCTGCATAGTCATTCTTGTTTTAACTGTAAAATCCATAAATATACTAACTTCAGTTCATTGTACCAAAACTTTTGCCTGTCCAAGGTCCAAATGTTTTTTTTACTATTCATAAACTTGTAAATTTTCATTTCTATATTTGCTTTTAGAGATGTGGGTCAACAGTAGGGGTGGTTTGTTTTGGTCTGTGTGTGCATGTGGAGGGGGTTTGTCGGGGTGTCGAGGCTCACTGAGCGACCGAAGCAAGGCTGTGGAGGGAGGTTTGTGGAAATGGTAATCATTTGTCGTATTGATCTCGCTGTAGCCAGGGCAGCTGGCACACACAAACTCACTCGCGCACATGTACACACACACTTGTAGACACTAACTGACTCACATACACACAGACGCGCAGTTGCGTGGCAGGAATAGACCCCTTCATATTGATCCCCTTCACATTCCCTTAGCTTGGCTGCCACACACACATTCACGCATACACACACATACTCACACTTTCTGCGCCTATATTAAACACTCCTCTAAATCTGGATTTTCAGGAAACTTAATATTGGAATTAAGTACTTGGAATTAAGTATGTATTTTTGTGTTTGTTTTTAGGAATATTTTTGATAATAATGAATGTGAAAAAAATTAAATGAGTTTTAAAGAAAGATATTGGGATGACTAAAATATAGTGACAAATTTGTATTAATTCACCTGATAGTAAGCAACATCAATTGTTTTTTTGTTTGTGTGTGCAGGTCAATGGCTGTGAGGCTGGAGACGGAGGTGGCAGAGCTCAGGAGGAATCTGCAGCAGGCTGTCGATCACAAACTCAAGGCAGAGCGAGAGAAACAGGATGCGCAGGACCAGGTAAATAAATACACACCACACCTGAGTGACATAGCCACTGTAAATAACATATTTGTGTTTGTTTAAATCGGCTTGGAGCAGAGCACAGGCAAGGTGTTTGTCATCTGAACCATTGAGATACTGTCTGTACTCACAGAAAGCTATAGCAATTTTACCACTTAATATTATTTTAATGTAATTATCCAATCCGTCTGCAGTCATCATATTGATTTCTGTAGTTGACCCGGCGCTTTTCACACTTAAAGTACGTTAAAGAAGGTTGTTCTAAGCCTACTGTACTACATAAACACAAATATTTATACCCTTATGTGAAGGTCTTCTCTCCTCTCATGCCCTCCAAGGTCTTCCTCCCCTCTCCTCCCATTCTCTTCTCACTCCCTGCACCCCCTTCTTACCTTTTTGATGATTAGTGGCATATATCCGGTGCTACAGCCCGGATTATCTTGTCCAAGACAGGGAGGGGTGTATGTGGGACCTAAACCTGGCAAGGTGATTTGGAGCGTTAATTCCTGGGTGTAATATTCCCTGATATTCCCTAATGTTCTGGCTGCGAGCGGGGGGTTGGGGGGTGCGGTCTCTGGGGAAAGCGGTTGTCAGAGCTGAGCCGCCGCTGTACAAAGGCAGAATGGATAATTAAGGGTAAAGCCAGGACAGGGAAGTGATGTTCATTTAGATTCGACAAAGTTTGAATTCTGTCTTAAGCTGCCGTGCACTGTGGTGCTCTCTTGGATCTTGATTTTCCATTTAGTTCAGATTCTTCCTAAAGTTTTCTCCTTTTCTCTCTCCCTTTTCTGCTTTTCTGTTGCTTTATTTTTCTCTCTCCTGTTTTCTGCCCCTCTCTATTCTCACTCTTTTTTTCCTACGTGTTTCCGTGTCTTCTTCTCTCTCCGTTTCTTTCTCTTTCACTCGCTCTCCCTCGTATTACACTTTTTTTCACTCTGTCCTTGTGAATAATGCAGCCCGCATAGCGTGGTTCTCCTTTTTTCTCTTAACATTAGTGCACCAAGGTTTGACAATAGTGATTGCCCAGGGCCAGTAAGACACTGACTTAGGCCAGTTGATTGGTCAGTCAATAGCCAAGCCAGTGCTCGCCAAGGGTTCTTCATCTATTTCTATATGTTGAAAATTCTTTCATCTCTTTTCTCTGTTGTACAATTTCTGATCAAACACATTGCAAGACATGTCAGAGTTAGTCATGGATCTGTCAGGTCAGAGTCTTGCATGAGGAAGACATGGTAATAGCTACTATGGTATGAATATAAGCACAAAGTAAAGCTCTATCTTATATAAAATAATCAACCTGATGTTCATTACCATTATCTGTATTCCACAATTATGCATTATAACAAGTTTTCATAAAACAAGAACTTAAATAACAATTTTTTTTTAATTTCATAAAATTTGCCCTTATTGATTGTTATAATATAGAATATATTTTTTAATGATAAATTGATAAAATTAAATTGATTGACTTTCACTGAAAAATCTTACTCACTGTAAACAATTTTTAGTATTTTCAGATCAAGTTTTTTTCTCATTATTAAAGCAACAGGTTCACATTTTGGGAAATATGCTTATTCTCTTTTATGCCAAGAATACGGTGGACTCTTATATCTGCTCGGTAGCAAATTAGCTTACCTTAGAATAAAACTGAAAACAGGGTAAAGGAGCAATACAATATACAAACAATAAGCACCTACTCGCACCTATAAAGCTCACTAATTAACATGTTATATTTTGTTTGTTTAATCAAAGTGTAAAAACATCAAGTTGCGGCTGTCCTTGGGTTATGTGATATTAATTCTTAGCCTGGAACAGTGACTTCCTAGAGATTTTTCATTACTGTGAGATTGCCAGCCAACCAGAAGCGAGTCTAGAAACTTTGACAGATCCAGGCTAGCTGTTTCCCCCTGCTTCCAGTCTTTATGCAAAGCCAAGCTAACCGGCTGCAGACTGAAGCCTTATGTTTAACGGTATTTTGAGGGCGTTATCGATTTTCTCATCTAACTCTCGGCAAGAAAGTGAATGATCTTATTTCCCAGTATGTCAAACTATTCCTTCAAGGCATTGATACTACAAACAGATGCTGTGCCTGTAACAACAGCCAGCAGCATCTAGTTTCTCTGACAGTAAAGCACACAGTGCAATGCCCTATCACCTGGCGCTAATGGGCTGACAAACTAGAGGAATTCAGAAACATATAATTCATGGAGTTCCACTCTGGAACGCTGATTACTGTTTAAGAGAAGCTTTAATTATTTGTTGAGCTCTGAAGACTGTGCAAAATGAAGGCAGTGTTTAAAGTACAACAAAGGTCATTTGATACTTGATCTTTTTAAAGGATTCAACCAATCAACCTTATACTTTTTGTTTATTTTATGCCTGCATTTGCAGTAAACAGTTTGGGAGTGCATGTATCTGTATGTTATCTGGCTGGTCTCCTGCACTCATACACAATCCCTCACATTTTCCGTTGCTGTCTTCCATCATCTCAACAACAGATGAGCTTTTCAATGAATTTGACTCCAAACAGTGTTTAAACACCAGTGTGATGGCTGCTCTGACTATGACTCCTTCATTAGGTCCCAATCTCTGTTATTGACCAGCAGAAGATGAATTATCCGCTGGTGAAAAAAATCAAAGGGTTTGAAATGGTAAATGGTACACTACAGTGGCCTATAGAGGAAATCTATATTACAAATTGCCTCGGTGCACAGTAGCTGAACCTCAGATAGCTCTGTCTTTCTCTGTGTGTATGTCTTTGTATGCAACAGTGTGTATATGTTTGTGTTTATGGTGTGTGTGTTACATTTAGAGACTTGTTTGTGTTTTCTGGGTCTGTTTAGTGTTTCTTTTCTGATACTAGTGCAGTCCTCGTTCAAAACGTGCTGGTTCGGAACGGGCCGATTGGTCGGCCTTCAGTATTGCTGCTTACATCGTTCTCAATATCATTGACCTGCAGAGCCGGAGAGCCCTCTCAGTTGTAGACGCAGCAGTTCCAGTGCCACCAGTCTCCCCCCCCCAAACACAGTATTATTAACATATGCCACCAATATTTACAGTATATTGATGTGTTCCCAAAAAAGGAGCCACACCTGTTGTTTTTTTCTGCTTCTTTGCTAAATAACATTCAATTGATTGAATGTAGGCCAAAGATGCACTCACACATGGAAAAAAAATCGTTAGGGTTAAAACTACACAATTTAAAAATGTCATTAAAGTCTAACATTATCATCATTTGTGGGAGATGCTGAAAGAAAAGCCCTGCCACTGAAATCTAATTCCCAAGTTTTTCCTCCAGGCGTAACTGTGTATGAACGAAATCTTTACTGCTATATCATTACTATTCATAAAATTCAGGAATTACCCCAGGTACCCCAAGTTATAGCTGGTTCCAAAGGCCTTACAAAGGATAGGCTGACATTATTTATTGAAGGTAGCTTTCTACATGGCTCTGGATATAACGTAGGCTCGCGCATGCATGCATACGTCGAAAGCTGTGGGTCGACAACTGCTGGGGCTCTCTGGCTCTGCAGGGCGATGTTTCTCAGCTTTTTTGGGAACCGCTCATCCAAACTACTGCACACTCAATACTGCACTTCCTGGGATCCTCAGGAATACACCCGCCAAGTGTGAAGTCCGTCTGACAGTTGTCGAGAATATCGGAGCACATACAGAATGATTCCTTCAGTTTTAGGGGGATGAAGTATTTGCATGACATCCACCAGACAGTTTTGTGCTTGCACACATACACACACAACACCACACACACACACACACACACACACACAAACACACACACACTTACTTCACTCGACCCTGTCACACTGCATGAGTCCAGTTCAAATAAAAGTTGTGGTAAACACGAGGCATGTTTTTGTGACTGATCAGATCATCCCTCACTCCTTTTCCTTCTCTCTCTCTCTCTCTCTCTTTCTCTCTCTCTCTCTCTCTTCTCTCTCTCCTATGCCACACACACACACACAATCACAGTCATTAGTGTGTTTACCTCAACTTCCTTTAGCATGGAGTAAAAGATTTCAAACAGTTTTAATGAGAATTTGCAGAGAAGTTTTCATAGAGCAAAAGTTTATAAGCATGTTTTCATTCCCATAAACTTTTCTCAGTTGCCCCAAATCTTTACAACTATTGATGTCATTCTATAGAAATACAATTAGATAGTAGCTTTTAATCACTCTGAGTCAGTGGGGGATCTGCCTAGTGATTAGAGAAACAAGCCTGCTAAGTAACCTTGAACAAGACTCTGAATCTCAAAAATACACAGTTTTACTCTGCACAGTGGTTGGACAGTGGGGTGGGCGAAGCAAAATGTAATTTGCTCCAGTTTCCTCTATTTTCTTCACCACTCCAGCAGTTATAGACTGTGATTTAGCTGCATAACGTTGCTGTTATCTAATCATTTTTGGATAAGATGCACACATTTTTACCTTTGTGGGTGAACTTCGCAAACATGAGCGCGTAGTATTTTCATTTTTGTGATGCTAAAGGGAGTTGGTCTCTGGAACGGTATTATGTTCATTGATCTCACTCATTATACCTGATAGAGGCCCCTCAGCCTGGGCTAATTAGCTTAGAATGACCCACACTAGATCACCGTTTTTACACATGCACACACTAACACACACACACACACACAGGTTTGATAATGGAGAAATGAGGACAGACAAATGAAGCTCATTTGTTTAGTTGATGAATAAAGAGAAGTGGTCCAATTGTCTGACTGTTTAACCATGGAATGGACTTTTACTATTTGTTCAGCGTGTGTGTATGTGTGTGTGTCCTCGTGTCCCATTACCCTCAAGCACAGCTCATTAAGCTACAGTCCTGTAATTCATTTGAGAGATGGGACGGACAGTCGAACAGACAAACCAACTATTTTCTCACGTTTTTTTGTCCTTCTTAGCTGTCACATTGTTTGTTTGCCTGTGTTTCTGTGTATGGATGTGGATGAAAAGTTGTTGTATGCAAAGGTTCATGGG